CATGTCTCTGCCTCAGAGACATGTAGCAATCTTAAAGGCTTGTGGACAGGGTACCCCGAAGATATCGGCATGCGACGACTTCTTTATCGAAAATGGCCCTAAAGGGAAGGGCGGAATCAGTTGCGTGTTTTGAGCATTTGCTGGACAAAGCATTACACATGAATGTTGAAAGTGGCCTTGCCTAGTGACAGGGGAGGGGTAGGGTGCGGGGGCGGGGGCGGTGGAGCGCCGTGTGCTAATGGCCGTTCGATACGCGCGTCGCCCTCGCCGCTCCGCTCCGCTCCGCGCCGGCCGCCGCTACTGCGTTTCTCCTTTAAATGACTTGCGCTCGATGCCTTCTCTTCCTCACCCGCATCCCATTGCCAAGGCGAAATACGGCGCTACCTAATAAGGACTTCGTACGTTTCCTTCGATGGCCCAATATTTCTCCTAAAAGATAATTGCACTGAACAATGAGCAATTCAATAGATTGGGAAAACAATTAACAAAGTAAGTGTACTATTCATATCTGGCATATTCACAAATCACGGTACATGCAACTACAAAATGTCGAGAAAATTCACAAGAAATCATTCCGAGTTTTGGATTGGATTTGGATGGAATAAAACTAAAAGTGACACAAGAAATTATTATTATTATTGCTATAACCTGTTGAAATCTAATGAAAACTTGCGATGATACAACAGCAATTATTTTCTCGCTTTATAGCCTTTTCAATTTTCAGAAGTTCAGAAACGTCAACGAAAATGTAACAAACGTCATTTTTATGGTTCCTTTACTTTGTCCGAGAGAATGAAACATTTGCAGCAGTTTTCCAGAGAATAAATGTATTCACTTCGGCGTACATTGCTAGAAAACAGCTTTTTTTAAAATTGAATATGACCTTATTTAAATTACATTAAATTTTATAACAACTTGCGTAAAAAAACTGTACTTTATTTTCGTTGAAATTTCTGAATTTCTGAAAATAGCATATGTTTGAAGTAATAGGAGAAACTTTTAGGTTTCAAGCATTGGCAGAAGCGATATTAAATTGGAGGACCTGAGTTCGAATCACCTTGAAAACATTGTTGCTACTGTACGTTAATGTTAGTATATTTCGTAATCGTTACAAATAATGCGAGAACGTGTGTTGCCGTTTTAGCACCATTATTTTTTTTCCATGTCCCGCCGATACTAGTTTTCCTGTCGATTATTTTTTTAGGTGGATTCGAATAGTAGGCTCCCCGAGCACACAAGTAATAACCTGTCTAATAAAAATACCATTAACAGTATGATAAAATTCTACAAACAGTATGCACTTCCTTCTAATTCAAACTGTAGATTCAAACAACGCCATGCAAATGCGCTGCTTTTGAGCGTGCGTTTCTCGGAAAGAAGCTCGTTTGAAACGGAGCGTTGCCGCGTGGCAATTGCGACGCGAGCGTGTCTGTTCCGCTGCGAGGGCGAGGGCGTGGCTGCGAGGGGAGGGGGCGGGCGAGCGGGCGCTTCCGCCGCCGCTAATGAATTACAGCGGGGCCTCTGGGCGACGCGCGCGCCATTGCCACCGGCCGAGCTCAAAACTCGCGCCGCACTTTAACCCTGGCAGCCCGCCGCTTAAATTTTCATTTCTTTAATGTTTTTGGCAATTTTTGATAAATGTATATGTTACTAACTTTCATGTGCATTCATTCTGGCGGCGCTAACCGAATTGCTTAACTACGCTCCGTGATGTCGTGGAGGTTAAGCAGTTGGAGTCTCCGCGGGTTTCTGCATGGGTGACGGTCTGGGAACCCCGGGATAAAACGGCACCGAGCCCCTACCCGAAAGGATAAACGGAGTCTGACTAATGCAGGATTACTTGAGTTCGACGTAAGTAAATGGTTCAGAAAAGGTTAGGGAAAAGTAACAGATTTTAAAAATTGTTGTGCTTCAGAAACACAGCATTTCAGGCACTAGTTAGTTTTCTTACCACTTGAGTCTACGCTGGGTTCCCGATATTGCCACCCTCTTTCCAGATGCTATCTTCTGGAGCCTATAAGATATTTTCTTTAACATTTTCTCAATTTTTCGCACTCCTAATGGTATACTTGAAATATGACTTAAGGATATTGTAGAAGAGTAGAACATATGCATTTTTTTTTCACAGAAAAATGTGGAGCCGTTTCTAAGAAAATTTTGAGCGTCCATTGTTCGAGCCGTTCTAAAAAGGCGCGATCTTCAGCTAGTTTTCGCTGAAAGAGTTTGAGTTATCAAGAAATTGTGTAGGAAACCATTTGAACCATATGTGCTCGCAAATGTAATAAGTGTATAAGTGAATAAATCAAAAGAATTGTATTCCTGAAGAATCAAAAGAATACGCCAAAATGACGTTTTTGTTAATGACGATCTTTTGCTATTCAGTGCACTTAGTACTAAACAAAAGAAAAGTAAAAGGAAAAACATTCTCACCGTTTTTGATAAAAATCTTACTTTATTTATTTTTTAAATATTACCCATATTTCATTTACAATTGGCAAAAACTATGAATATTCTCACAATGTACGAGACTAATCAAAAAATTGTGGAGAACAGATTTTTATCTCGAATAATGTAGTTGTGAGTGCAAAGGTTTAAAACATTTGATTTTTTTCCAAATGTAGAGTCAACAGTGAAAACCGGAACGTTACCATCTTTGTACGTGCATTTCCCTGTATTCTTACAAGAAATGTAAAGGAAAATTTGAAGCCACGTTTTAGAAAAGTTTTGAAAATGTCTTAAGCGCTTCATGTAAATTGAATGAGTACTTTTCAAATTCGCTGGACTTTCAGTCCAGCCAGATCGACTGGTGATCAAGAGATATTTCGAATTTTTTTAATTTGTCGTAGTACATATTTTTAAAATCAATTTGCAAACCAGACGAAATCGTCAAACACGCATTTATATTTTGCAAATCCAGGTCCATTCTCATATTCTTTGTCTTCGTCTTCCTCGTCGTCTTCGTCCTCGTCTTCCTCGTCCTCGTCTTCCTCGTCCTCGTCTTCCTCGTCTCGTCCTTCCTCTGTCCTCGTCGTCTTGGTCGTCTTCGTCCTCGTCGTCTTGGTCGTTCTTCGTCTTCGTCCTCGTCGTCTTTCGTCTCGTCGTCTTCGTCTCGTCGTCTTCGTCCTCTGTCGTCTTCGTCCTCTCGTCTTCGTCTCGTCTTCGTCTTCGTCCTCGGTCGTCTTCGTCCTCGTCGTCTTCGTCCTCGTCGTCTTCGTCCTCGTCGTCTTCGTCCTCGTCGTCTTCGTCTCGTCGTCTTCGTCCTCGTCGTCCTTCGTCTCGTCTCTTCGTCCTCTTCGTCTTCCTCCTCGTCGTCTTCGTCTTCGCTCTGTCTTCGTCTCTCTGGTCGTCTTCGTCCTCGTCGTCTCGCCTCTTCGTCTTCTCCTCGTCGTCCTCGTCTCTCTCGTCTCGTCTCGTCGTCTTCTCGTCGTGTCTTCGTCTCTCTCGTCTTCGTCCTCGTCGTTCTTCGTCTCGTCGTCTCTCCTCGTCGTCTTCTCCTCGTCGTCTTTCCTCGTCGTCTTCCTCGACTGTCGTCTTCTCTTCGTCGTCCCTCGTCCTCGTCGTTGTCTCTGTCTTCGTCTCGTGTCTTCGTCTCGTCGTTTCTCTCGTCGTCTTCGTCTCGTCGTCTTCGTCTCCGTCGTCTTCGCTCGTCGTCTTCGTCCTCGTCGTCTTCCGTCTCGTCGTCTTCGTCTGTCGTCTCGCTCTCGTCTCGTCTCGTCGTCTTCGTCCTCGTCGTCTTCGTCCTCGTCGTCTTCGTCCTCGTCGTCTTCCTCGTCGTCTTGCTCGTCGTCTTGCTTCGTCGTCTTGCTCGTCGTCTTGCTCGTCGTCTTGCTCGTCGTCTTTGCTCGTCGTCCTTGCTCGTCGTTTGCTCGTCGTCTTGTCTTCGTCTTCGTTCAGCAGCGACGATGGTGTAACGGTTAGCATATTGGACTTTTATACCGAAGTTTGCGGGTTCAAACCGCGACACGCGATAGCTTACTTCAGTACAAATCTTTGTGTTACTTATATTCCGCGGGTCCAAGCGCGTTGAGTTCTACGTTGACGACAGCAAGCACGCGAATGCCACAGCCTGGCGACACCCCCCGACGCTTGCGCCATCTCATATGTTATTAGGCGAGTGAAAGAGCCTTTAGATATTCCAACAGTGCAAGAGGCATTGAAGAGTGTAAAGACTGCATGACAAAATATATAATCAAATACGGAGAGAGCACGAACTGTGGAGAAGGATCTAATGAAAAAGTACGAAGCAAATAATTCAAATTGATGTTTTACGGCCAAATATAGATGTTGAAATTTTCAGATCATGCTGTTAATGTGTTTTGCTACATCTCTATTTTAATAAACTCAATCGTTATGGAGACATTCTGATTAATTTTGATATCCTCGAACCAAAAATCGTATTTCTCAGAAGTTCGCTAAAAGGGAGTAGACTATACATAGGGATTATTACTAGTGGATATCCTTGTGAATATATCGCAAGGTATTTTAAAGTAGAATACTTTTAGTATTTGTCCCGATACTTATTTCCCATATTCATCTATTCAGTCAGGAACAGGAATGCTTCTGTCTATAGTGTATCCTCTCCCCAGTCTGGGATGACGTCGCCTGCTCTGACTTGCTTTGCTTTGCTTTGCTTTGCCCTACTCTGCTACAACCTGCCATTGTGTGCTAAAGCCATCCTGCTCTTTGCACCGTTCTCTACTTGCGCTCTCTTGCCTGACCACGATACTTCCCGACTTACCGCCAGGTTGTGCGTGATGTGAAAATTTCAATTTTTTTCTTATTATTGTTTATATAACATACACAAACATGTAAACTACACGTACAGGCAACGGATACTTCCAACCTTCAACTACACCTTATTTGCTGCGATTGGCGAGTAGTTCATCGGGAATGGGGGAGTTTACGTCGCACGTTATGGAAACAATATTCATGATTAGTATGGTTGCAAAAGTGAAGTTATCAAGTGCCTAGTGACGAGCGTGTGCTTGTTTGTGTTGTAGGGTCCATCATGTTCCACGTGCGACGGCGGCCGGCGGACTACCACCCGCGCAAGCGGAAGAAGAAGCCCCTGCAGAAGTGGAACAAGGGCAGCGACCTGGTGGATTACCGGTACGAGGAGGGCTACGACCGGCTGCCCTTTTTCCTCGAGCTTAATCCTGGTAAGACACTTGTACGCGCTTAGGACGCCTTCCCACGGCGCCACGGCGCCGCGCTTCCTTCAAGCAGCAGAGCCCTTCAGACGCAGCCACGGCCGTACCGCCACCCGCCGTGGAAGGAGGCTTGTTCTGCAGGGGTATGTTTCGACCCTCCGGCGACGGCGAACAAAGGAACCGCAGCGGGAAAACGCCGCTACCGGCGACGCAGTGGAAATACCGTCATTTAAAGCTGTGTTCTGCTAGCGGTGGCGCGTGCCCCCTCCTCCCCTTCGCGTAGCGAGAGTCCGGCGACGCTTGGCGCAGCAGCGCCCGCCCCCTGCCGGTGGGAAGGCCTCCATTCAAACCAATGCTCTACTACGCGCCGCGCTGCTCGGAAGCGCACCGCCGTCGTAACGTGGGAAGGGGCCCTTGCTTCTGCCTACTCTTCTTTCAAGTACTTCTTTTATCCGGTCTATTTTCTTATTGCGTTCTCTCAGAAAATAATTGAAAGGGAACGGACTAGTACGTTTGGTTTTCGTATTTAGGTTGTTTTCGTATTAAGAGAAGGTCATAAAAGATTAAATGCTGTAGATATAATGTAAGCCCTCAAGCACTCACACTTGAAATTCAAACTGGAATGTCAATAACGAACTTAGAATTAATAAAGAATGCGAGGAAGAAAATGAGATGAAATACTGTAAACTAGTGGTCGACAAAATTGTGAAGCTTCTGATCAAAAATATTGGTGTTTAAATCCTACTTGGGTTACGGAAAGAAACCAGGACAAAAATAACTTTTTTTCGAATCTTACAAATGCTTGCCTATGAACATAATTCTGGCAAGTACGAACAGTTTTAATAAAACTCTTTATAAAAACAAGAAACTAAAATAGAATTGTACGTAAGAAAAAAATTAAAACTGTTTTTAGTTGTGCAATAAAATTGCGCATAGGGCATGTTTACGGCCTAGAAATACGCAAGCATATATGAAATAAGACTATTAAAAAAAATTGGCGTTGATATAAGCGAGATCTCCAGTTAGTGTGGTACGTGAAAACAGTGACTTGGCAGTTTTGAAGGAGGCAGCTTCGCCTTCATTGAAATTATAATCCTTAAAATCTCTTCGATAGCTTTTTAATTGGAACAGTACTCGAAGTAGTGTGCGGCGTTCAGACCCGTGCCCCAACGCGTGAAAATGGTTTGGGAAAGGAATGGCTACGAAGGAATCACTTCTTGGAATTTTTGCTTTCGTAATGGAGATATGGTTTTTTACCAAAGAAGTTAACTTACCTGCATCAGAATAATTTCCACGAATAGCGTGCGCAACTCTATTTAGTACATGTTACATTTATCATTTTAGGGTAGAGTAGCCAGCTTTGACGATGTAAGGGGCTGCATCAATGACTAGAAGTAGATAATTTTTCTCTCGTTACTACTTCAGCCACAATTGTTAGTCTGCTTTCCACAGAGCGAGGAGCCCGCTAGTCTGTCAGTGTCGATTGTCGAGGTTGTGTTCCCATGAGGGACATAGTGGCTACCCGGAGCGGATAGTTGAAAATCGGCATCCCCTGATGCTGGAAAAAGCCCCCGGTATGGAAAAAAAAATATTGGTGCTACAGAATGGCACAGACTTTCTCGTACTAGTTTTCTAATTTCTTTAGGCCTGGGCTATCTTTTTGGACTTGCCACATACTCTTGCCAGCTGCCGTCTATCGCCGCTTAAAGAACTATTTTTTCACAATTTTTCGATTTCCTAGTGGTAAAACCGAAATAATACTATAAGAATATTATAGGAGAGTAACTCGTCCTATAAGGACATTTTCGTTGGAGACTTTGGTTTTTAAGAAAATGGCATTTAAGCGTTTCTATACATGCGAAATTTGAAGCTCGATTTCACAGACAACTTTTGAGTTTTCGAGAAACTCCATTTAAAGACATTTGAAACTCTTCCTCTCACAAATAAAATAATGTTTACAAATTACTGGAAAAGTGCATAAAAACTACGTGAGTGATGTTTATGAAAAACACATTTTGTGTAATTTTTTTTAAGGATACTGCAAAATGACACTTGTCACCTTAAACAGTGCAATTAGCACTATCCCTGCGAAAAGTTTGAGCCTTTGGGGGGGGCGTTTGAGCGTTTCTAAAAATTCTGAATTTTAAACTTATTTTAACAGAAAACTTCAGAGTTTTTGAGAAATTTTATAAGACATAATTTGCATCACATCTATTTATAAATGCAATAATTTGAGCAATCGCCGCCAATGTTAATATTAACTTTTGAAAAAAGAAATAAATAAAACAATATGGCCTTTATGTCGTCTTACAGAGTATATATATATATATATATATATATATATATATATATATATATATATATATATATATATATATAACATGAACGGCAGTTGCACCCTCGAACGTTAAAGCAATCGAAACAGTATCAATATCAACGGGTGAAATCAAGAAAGAGCTTTTATATGTTTAGGTCGAAATGTATTAGTCGCAATGGAAGAAGCTCCAAATTGTGGCAACAGTGTCTGAAATTGTCATCAGCTTTTCTGTGTTCATGTTACTTCATTTGGGACTTTTGCTACCGTATATTGTGGGCTAACGGCGGTAGGCCTAGCTAGGGTAGAGAAAATTACGTGAACAAACTCTTTTAGTCAAGTTATACCTGAAATGATTATAGGCCACATTCTTTTTCAGTGCATACTTTTTTCAAAATTCTGTATATGTTCTGTTGAGATCTGTATTAAATCGCACTCTCGTCAGTGCATAAGTCCTACGTCAAATAGATGAATATGGCGTTTGTCATCTCAGAGTGCATTTATCACAATCCCTACCAAAAGTTTAAAGAAAAAAATGGAGCCGTTTGTGGGAAAATCTTATTTTTAATTTTCTTTAATTGCACATATTGAATGCAATGTTTGGCGAAAACTTAAAATTTTCAAAAAGATGTGCATGACTTTTATGAAAGAACTCACTGTGAAGAACAAATATTACTTGAAAGAAAAATCTTTCTTTCAATTTGTAGTTATAGGAAGACTCCGAAAAAATTTCAAACTCTTTGCCATTTTCGAAAATTCAGAGTTAGCTGTAAAAATATGACCTATGCAACCTTTATAAGTGTATTTTACTCTATTCGTACAAAAAAAAATTGTTTTAAAATTTTGAAACGGTTTTTGAGAAAATGTTGAAAATGTCCGTGGAGCTTCAAGTATCTCCAAAATTTATAGAATGTTTTTCAAAATTTCAAAGCTTCGACTCGAACCTGATGGACAAGGGTTTCTTCAATTTGGAAAAACGTCGTACTTATGGTTTAGCCGATAGTGGTGTTCACAGACAGACGGATGTTTTGCCAACAATTGGTTTCTTGATATCATGAACCCTCAAAACGATGATTCTGGCTACACCGCATGTTAGAGGACTTTTGTCTTCTTAATTTAGCTACTGAATTTATCCTCTATTTTCGTTATCAGGGCACGGCAGTGAAATTTTTTCTCCCGAAAATGCGTCGTTTTTTCGCGCAGCATTACATATCATGCTACGTTTATTACTTTTAGTACATTCATTGCACAAGTATATATGTAGGTAACGAGAAAGTAAAACTTGCCTTTGTCACACAACATGCTCACGCGAAAAATGCTCAAATTTTTGAAAATTTGTACATAACCTTGCTTCAAAAGCTTTGTTTTTGGAACAAATTTTATTAAGGGAAAAAAATCTCCATTATGTAATTTTTGTTGTAGGAAAGCGCCGGAAAAAATTTTTGTATTTTCGAAAAATTAGAGCTTTTAACGAAAATAAGACCTGAACGATTCTCATTCACGTCATTTACACTATCTAACAACAAATTTTAACTAAAAACAATGGAGGCATTTTTTTTTAAATTGAACATGTCCCAGGGGTTTCATGTAAAGTACTCCCACCCTCCAAAAAAATTAAAATATCGATTTCCAATTCAACGGCTCGGGACATCTGGCATATCAATCGGGAAATATCAAATTTGAGAAACATTTCCGGAACGGTTTAGCCAATAGCGTTGTTCACAAACGGACAGAATTTTTAGTCAATCGACTTTTCAGTACCAAGAACCCACAAAACATGATGCTAGCTATATTACGAGTTCGAGAAATTTTTTCTTCTGAATTTAGGAACTATATTTATCTTCATTTTCATTACCAGGTCCTATAGTTTTTCTGCCGAAAATTCGCCGTTTTTTCTCACAGAATTACGTATCTTCCGATCAACCGCGGTAGTAGTAACGAGAAAGTAAAAATTGGAATATTAAAGCAAAATGAATTTTAGGTTATCTTAAACAGTGCATTTAGCACTATTCATTCAAAAAGTTTGAAAAAAAGTAATGGAACAGTTTTTGAGACAATGGCGTTTAAACATTTCTGATTAATGGCATTATCTATGCATCTATAGTAAACTTTAAGTTTTTATCTTTGTTCACAATGAGTGAGTCACTGATCCTCCCATTGTTCCTCAAAATCTTGTTTTGATTTCTTTTGAGAATTTCTTTAAATAATAATTTATTCCTATAGTACAATCCTTACTCCTAACATAGTCATATCAGAACTTACGCCACTGTTATATAAATAAGATATTTTCCTTCCGCATAAGTGCTAATCTAAATTTTAGAGTTAGAATAGAAATGTAAATAATTTCAATTAATAATTTTGTTACAATAATTCCTTTCAAATGGCGATTTTTTTGAATGTTTACATACCTTCTTTTACCATGTTTCATACCTTCTTTTATCAGAACAAGTGCCTTTCTACTTGTCTATTGTTGGTCAATTCAGTGAATTCAGTGAAACCTCAAATGGAATGTACATATAACAGAAGTAAACACTAAATTAGGTTCATTATGTTATGCATTCAGAATTCTTTCAAATTCTGTCAGCCTTCATGCAGCTCGTTGCATGTATTTTGCAAATGAGCATTCCCGCCTGACATATGGTACAATATTCTGTGGAAGCTCATCATATAATACCCAGACCTTTAGATTGCAAAAGAAAATTATTCATACAATGAAAAAATAATAATTACCACACATCGAAGAAATCAGGTTCCGCAAGTGTCAGTATCAACAGCTAAATACCATAAATCCGCATACAATACATATATGTTACTTTACAGCACATTGCCAGATGACATTGAACAATTAAAGTTGGTACAAAAATTTAAGTTACGAGTAAAATCTTTTCTGCTGCAAAACTTTTTCTGTACAATTTGACACTATTTTTCTTTTTGATTATAAGTATAGTGTTTATTTTAATAAAACAGTGATTTATAATGTATTAGTTTACATTTGTATTGTATAATTTTTTTAAAAGACGTAATATGCTTGTAACAAATAATGTACTTCAGCTTTCGGGTCAATATCTTCCCATCTCAATCAGGTTTCTCTTCAGTGTCCTTGATACATTGAGCAAATGCTGAGATGGCCCCTTGTTTTGCTTCTGGATGTAATTGTAGCTTCACCACGCACGTAAGGGCGAGTTACTTTTGTTAACATTGTAGAAAACTCAAATCTGCAGTTTTTTTACTGTTGCAAATAATTTTTTTGTAACTCGGTAAGAAAAATGTCTAGTTTATCAAATGTTGCTAATCTTGCGTGTTGTTTTTAAATATTATTTTTATTTATTTATCTTTAACGTTTAATAATCTTCAACTATTTATAGTTAAAATGATAGGAACGGATTCTAATTTTGAATGAAATGTAGGCAATTTTAAAGAATGACTTTCTCTAAAATTGCTCTAATTATTTTCTTTAAATTTTTCCATCTTTACCAGGACACTCAAAAATGGCTTGGATCTCGTTTTTGGCAAACACTCGAATTTTGAAAAATTGAAAGAAAAAAAATCATTGCAGAAATACAAGATTGATGATAAAGATTTTTCTTGAATGAAATATTTATTAAAATGTCTAAGTATGCGCATGTACTTTTCAAAAAAATGAGATGTATGACAATAACTCAGTATTCAAGTATTCTGTTGAGTTTTCAAAAATTACAGAAATGTAGTTTTTTTATGTATCTGTCGTGTCATTAATTCACATAATAAGATTTCATTATAAATTTATTGCTTTTGTAGGAACAAGTGCTTCAAATTATTTGTTAAGAAGTTTCTCAAAAACTCAAAAGGTTTCTGTAAAACTGAACTCAATAATACCCATTTTCAGAAATACATTTTCAACGCCCAAATTTTTCAGTGAAAATTTGCATTTACGACATGTTTTACTATTTACTTTGTACATAATTACTTTGGAAATTGCATTCTGCTAAAATAGTGATTACTACATTTACAAATGTAATTTTGCCTTTTTCAGATGGTTCAGATATAGTAAGCAGCACTCCGAAACGCCATCGACTTCATCCGAATGTTACTGAAGTGGGAAGTGAACGACCCATGAATGCATCACAACATGGGCATCAAACACAGTCCCTACAGTTGTTTGGTCCAAATGTGCATCCTAGGCATTGTGTTATTGCGCATACTGAAGGTATTGTGACAGTTACACCTTGCAGTAGAGATGCAGAAACATACGTAAATGGCCAGCGAATTTATGAGACCACAATACTTCAGGTAATTTTTTTTAAATGAGTGTTTAATGGGCTGATTATGTTTTAAGGAATTAATGTTGATTAAAAGAGCAAACTGAATTCAAATTTATCATATGAATCATCATCCTGTTAAACATTATTTTTTTGTGCTTTTGTATTTCAGCATGGGGCTGTAGTGAAGTTTGGCAGAATTCATAATTTTCGGTTTCTTGACCCTTCAGCTGATGATAGAACCCGACAAAGACATGATTCTGCCAGGCAGGCTCTGGACTATACCTACGACAGGTTAGAATAAATTTATGTAAAACACTTGTGTAACAAAATAAAATTTTAATTTAATGAAAGTAGTACTTAGTGTGGACATCTTGCATAATTTAAATGATAGTAGTAATGAAAGTTTAGAAGTTGACTTGGGATTGTTTTGTAATTTTTTTGTTCACATAATTGTAGTGGTATTTTTTTAATACAGATATGTATGCTATAAATGTATTCTCTTAATATTTTAACTAACTTGTAGCCGGGTCTTCTGGGAGCATTAATTTTTCTTTTAAACCCTTCGGAAGTCAACATTTATTTTATTGTATTTAGTGAGACAACAAATTATATAAGTAGCATAATTCAGTGTAATTAAAAAAAATATTTTAATATGTTACTAGTCATTAGTCCTTGTAGAAATATTTAAAATTGAGTGAAATTAATGAATTGTTGTGGTCATGTCATTGGAAAATGTTATAACTAGAGCCCAGAAGTTCAGGCATTTATTTTACTTAAAATATGCATCAAAAAAGGCATTTATTCTGGCTAAAGTAGGTGTGCATGAGTGATAAAAATGGTGAAAACTCACATTTAAAAGAAATTAATGCTAAAAAACAAGTAAATTAAAATGATTCACATTTTTATTCTAACTCTAAAATTTGCATTACCGCTTATGTGTAAGGAAGCAATATTTTCTTTGTAATGTTGTTTCCACATGATCACCCAGTATCATGACTATGAATTTGTTTTAGTCACGATACGGTCTTTTGAATGTTGAAATGGGATCGGTGGAAGCGGAATTAAATGCTGAAAGCCCTCCAAAGAGCAGGAGTTTGTGCTCAAAAGTATTATAGGATTTCTTGTGAGCCTGATGGCAACAATGAAAAAAATCAAAAATTTTGACTGGTGTCATTTTCTTTTTAATTTATATTTTTAATACTACCCTGACCCTGGAGCCTCTGCTTTCACAGAAAGGCAAAGCTATCATGTGTTTGTGTTCTCCAGGCTTGCAGGTATGTTTCCAGTTAGATCTCTGGGAGAGAAAAAACAAAATAATGACAAAGGCAAAATCCTGAAAATTGCATTTGAAGTCAAACTAGATGAAAAAAGATTTATTGAAAACCTGCTAAAACAACTCCAGAAGTATAATTAAGTTCTTCCTGTTGTTAAAAGAGATAAAATTTTAACAATAATAAAAAAAGACATTTTGCCAAACTTTTGGGCTCTAATTATTTCACTTGGGAGACAGGTTGTTTCTTTGAAATTAATTTTTAGTGAACAATTAGAATTAAAAAAGTTTTTATACACCTTAAATACAACAGTTTCTAGTAAATTATTTCAAATAGTGCTGTTGCTTTATTAGTGCACTTAAGCAATTTTTATATTGTAGATTAACAGAAGGAATGGACAACTTGCAAATTTGTTGTTAAAAGAGAATCCTTTATTTTTATATTGTACAAAGACGCTTATTATCTTTGCATGTGCTTTCTTTTTGTGTTCTTCTCCAAAACTCTCCAGTTTGTGTCTTGTGTGCGTGTGTGTATGTGTGCACATTTTGTTTTTGTCTTGCCCACTGCCTTGCCTGGTTCAGACAAACATCAAAGGAGGACACAGTGAGTCATGGAGGAGTATCCACGGGCCCCCCTGGTAGCAACACAAATGGTAATAACAACAGCTCAAATGGTAACGGACCAAGTAATACTTCCCAGAATTATGAAACGACTTTTGATGTTGATGGAAATGTGGAAACGGTATCTACGTCAAGTTTGGGTAATAAGGAGGAAACAAGATCACAGAGGTCTGTTGGCAGTAGCAGGGATGGCAACAGGTATGATTCACAACCGTTTTATCGAAACAATGAAAATATGAGGCATGTTTTTTAAGTAAGGTTTATTTTAAAAATGAAATATAAAAATTGAAAGAAAAAAATGACATGAAAGTATGTTCCACTTTTTCACTATGTATCTTGGAATTTTATACATTTTCTATATAATTTCCCTATTAATCTATTTATTGGGAAACTGAAAAACTACACTATTGTTCTACTTCGAAGTTGGTTCTTTAAATACTAGATTTCATTAAATAGATATTAACTGTCCTGAGCACAGAATCAGGCCTATCTGTCAGATAGTGAGGAACTTCTTTTAAATTTTTAAGGTTATTTAATTAGTATAGTTTTTCATATGTTTTTCTTCATTGCTTATCAAACTATGTAAAATTATATTGTGTATGGACAAATTGCTTGTTGAATACTTAAAGAAGGCAATAAAAGAGTCATTTAGACAGCAGCAGCTTGAAGTGCTAACATTATTTCATGAATATAACATCACGTGTAACAATGATTTCACTGCAACTAGCTCTCGCTTACGGAGGAAATTGTGCTTGTAACATCCCTTGCAATAATTTTCAAAATGGTTGATAAAGTGAAAGATGTTAGGAATCTGATGGCAGACATCTTTCATCTTTTCTTTTCTTTGAATGTTTAAAAATAACAACATATGCTGAAATGAATTGGAGTTGAGAAGAAAAATGAAGTGGTGTTGAAAGTACGTTGACCATGAAATGGTGTTTCCTAAAAGGAAAGTGTAAAAATTGGCATATTTTATTTGTACAATTATCTCTTTCACTTCTTATTAAATAGATACTTAAGCAGTTATGTATTCATAGCCTAAATTAAGCTACCTATAGGTCTGAACTAATTATCACAAAGAAAATAGATGATTGATGAGAATTACTTAAATTTTCCTCGAAGACTAAACACATTAGCTGAGTGTGAAATAATACTTGTCTTATAAAAACTAGGCTTCTAATTATTAGAATATAATTTCTAACAACATTTACATTAAACAGGCAAAATATAGCAAAACAAGTTAAAAGGAAATGAAAATGCCTTCAAGAAAGGGGTTTTTAAAAGTGCCTCAGAGCCAAGTAATAATTCCAACGTTACAATGCATGTACATTTTTGGACCTTTGTGGTAGTTTTGGCACAATTAGTGTGTAACTGTGAAGGATCATAGTGAAGTTCAGTGGAGGATAGTTGTTCAGAGGGCAATTGTGACGTAACCGCAGAGCAGTGCTGCTCACCCACTGCACCCAAGTGCAAATCGCTGCCTCTAGGGAAAGAAAGAAAGTGAAAGAAGGGGGGGGGTGATTGTAAAAATATTGTACAATATACTCTTCGATGGCAATGAGGAATTTTCTTATACACTTCGGAATTTAAAAATATTTAGTTACACATTTTTGTAACACTGGTACTCCATTAAGTTAGAAGTTTTTCAACTGATTGCTGCAGTGATAGTGGGTTGATAGGAGCCGTATCATAATAATATGTAACCATTACAACTAAAACAAGAAAATAAACACTGTAGTATCAATACTAATTTTTACATACATTTTATTCTTAAATATAGTTATTTTTATGATCCATAGGAAATGGCATTACTGAAAATAGCAAATTAGTAACTACTGTGAGCATTTTTTTTATTCATAATTTCCTATGTACTGATAGCATTGTTAATTTTTTTGCATATTAGTACTTAGATTTTCCTGTAATCTGCCCCCAAAGGATTTTCAGATAAGTCATACCTTAAGGTACAAAAAAAATTAAAATCGAACTGGGACACTGTGAAATCACATACATATTTGGTGCAATAGGAATGGCATTTTGTTATACAGTTTAGTAGATTTTACTTTGTCCACTTCATATTTGAGTGAGTTTTGGATTAGGGAAGGGATAGTTGGTGTGAGTTTAAGGTTTGTGAAGTTCGCAGTATTCAGCAGCACCAGGTATGCTTCCCTAATTTTATTTTCTCTGGCCCAATTATATTTAGTATTGAGTAAATTGAATTGCTTTCTTCCCTTTTTATTAATGAGTTTTTAAAATGGGAATGATTTAGTCCTGTCCTTTTAATAGGTGACCCTTATTAGGATATTGTGATGTTATCAATAAAGGAATTTAACAGATTGAAATCTCGGGTGATCAGCAAGTTTTGCAAAAGAGATTGCCTGGCAAGATAGTACATCATTTTAAACTCCAATAGTATATGTTCTTTTTCTCTACCTTGTTCTTCATCTTGTTCTCTTTTTCCTTTTTCTTCTGAACTTTGTTCTCCTTCTTCCTAAAGGTTGTTCATAATCTTTAAATATGTCTTTTCCTGATTTTAAAGTATACCTTACTTAACAGACATGCTTTATATCTAAAAGTTGAATGACAGGGTATTATTTTGTAATCCTGATCTTATGTTATTTGATAAAAAGAAGACAATATCAGCAAGGTTTCAATGAATTAATAAGCATGAGGTTTTTAACACTCCATCTTTTACTTCAATGCTTGGCATGAATCGAGCATGTTTTTCTCATAATAAAACCCAAGTTAAGCCCTGCCCCATTGTGTGTTTTTTGCTTCATATTGTTAAACGTCGTGTCTGCTTATTATGAGATAAGATTTTTAATGCATGTGTTAGAATGAATTACATTGGCTTTATTTTTTAAATGTAGCATTAAAAATAGTGTATTTGTTATATGTCCTGAATTATTGTTATTTTATAACATTAGTTGGAAACTAGTGATATATTATATATAAGAAAAATTATTTGTAAGACTTGAATTCATTGATTACTTTGTCTGCAACATATATTGAAAATTTACCTAACCATTTTTAATTTTCATGAGTCAATTTATTGCTGTGTTTTTCTTTTCTGTTTTTCTCCCTCTTCTTCTTCTATTGGTACCCATTGTAACCTCCGGTTTTGCACAATGTGCATCTACCAAAATTCAAGTTAAAATTCAAGTGTGAAAAGATATTTAATGGAGTATCATGTTATCTAAAGAGATTAAAGCAACTGCTAAGGAACAGATCAGTAGTTGTCTTGGTTACCCTCTGTAATCATCATGAGTAGAGTCTGGATTTTTATTTAATTTGTGTCACCTATCAGTGTAAACATAATATGTTGAATTATTATGCTGCTGGAACCTCTATATTGAACTGTGATTTTTTACATATACGTATGTTACACACATCTTTATCTATTTTACATAGTTACACTATTAATCATAACTTTCACTTTCTCATACATTACTTCATAGTACAGAGTGTTTTATAAAGTTACATGAAAAAACATGGTTTCTCAAACAGCAAAATGTTTGTGGCTCTGAAACAAGAAAAGTAGATTATTCATGAACCTACCCATATTTAGTAATTTTTTTTCTGGAATAAGTAATGCAGTTTGGGTCCTTGATACTAAACAATTTGTTTTTGGCACACTGTCTGTCTGTCTGTCTGTCTGCCTGCCTGCTTGTCTCTGTTTTTTATCCACTGTGATTAGGTAAAGTCAATAATTATGCCATTAAAATCAGCTTTGTACTAAAGTACTTTACCTTACTTTAGTACTTTATTTATTATCATCATAATTTTTTCTAAAATTTTTTAAATAATGACAATATTAATTGCAGGTTTTACTTACTTATTGTAAACTTTAATAACAAATTTGTGGCAATTTGAAAATGTTGTTCCTGACGATATGACAATTCATATCTGTATTTCAAACATGTTTTTCCATATTCAAATATTTCCTCCATAATTTTCTTAGGTATGTAATTTTTGTTTTCTACTAATGTTTCCACATATCCTTCTGCATCAGAAGATGATTTCCATCCACAGTGCCTCTTCAACATATTGATCAGCACCTACACATGCAAGTAAAGAAGCAGACAATTTGCGAAAGCAATGCCCTTTTAAACTTTCAGGACTCTTGAAACCTATTTACATACTTTGCTACTATCTTTGGAATGCTTCCAAAAGTATTTATGCAAGCAGGTTGGCAAGCACATGTTTCATTCTTGTACAAGAGAAAGAAACGATCGTGCTTGATAGTTTTTGGCCGAAGGCAAAAGTATTTATAAAATGTTTCTGAACGTTCTTTAATGTTTCCTTCACTGATTATAAATTCTTTATAATTTAAGTCTAGGCTTTTGGTATATTCATTAAATTTTACATTTTAACTGCCTTTATATCACTTATTTTGAGATTCTTTCACTCATTTCTTTCACTGTTTCATTGTCCTTGTTCAAAAAGCATTCATTTGATCTGGATTCCATTGTATGTAGTATGTAGTTGTATGTAGTCCCTGAACCCCACACTCAGTTGCTACATGAAAATAGATAAATTTGCTCTTGAAAATAGATTTTATTACGTCAGAGCCAATATTTTCTTGTCAATTTTTCTCAAAAATACATTTCTTCCTGTATTCAGAACATAACTTGAATATGCTTTAGGGTAGGGTCAGAAAACATGCACAGAATACACGTCTCTCCGTAGCACTTTCATGGAAGAATACTGCCACATTTTAAATATTATATGTGCATGATAGGGAGAGCTTGGTCACTGTCTACTTAAAGGAGAAAAAGGAAATGAAGGAAAAAAGATTTACTTTACTCAGGAACGTGTTTGGTAATCATGCAAATTCTGCACGTTTAATGTCTTGCTTATGAGGCCCCAGTACAGTGGAACTCTGACTGCTCAGATGGGAATAATATTACATAAAAATCCAGACTCTAGTCGAGTGTCCCAAAATGCCAAGTGACTGCCTGGGCATGAACAGGTGTTGGGAATTGAGAAATTTTCATTTTCCTGATGTTGAGCATACGAGAATTGCGTATTGTGCATACTCCATAATAGACCAAAGTTGTGTTCTGGTATAAATATCAATACTAAAGAGCTAAAACTTAAAGAGATGCAAACTACTAACAATGATGTCTATAGTCAAACTTTTGAGAAGCTCACCAATCAGATTTGTGGAATGGAATTTTGGTAATCATGCTGGCAGTCTTGTTGAAACACCAGTAATTTCTGTTGAGAAAAATATTTTATAAAACATTAATTGTGCATTGACACACTTGGGTTCAGAAGTGTTACCATTCAGTAATTTGAATGAATTTGTAAATATTGTTTTTGGTTTCTAGACTGTCCAATTACGAGCGGTACCCCAGGGGAAATGACCCGATTTTACCAGCTGTTCTTGAATTTAGAGAAGAAACAGAAGAGGCATTTCTTCATGCTGTTGTGACAGACCTAGATCCGTCGTCACCACATTTTAAACTTGCACCTACCTACACTCTCTATCTTGTGGCAAGGTATCGTGCTTCAACCCACTACCGTCCGGAACTTACTCCCCCAGAGCGAGCACATAGGCTTACCGTGTTGCTTGCAAGAGTGGCAGCTATGATACATAATGTAATTCAGGTAAGGTTGAACCTTTAGAGATACTGGGTAATTAGAATCCATTTTGAAGTAGATACTTCACAGTCAACTGAGTATTCCATATTATAAAGATATTGTGCATTGAATTGTCTTTTATATTTCAGGACAGGTATGCGGATGCAAAATCCCTTGCTTTCTGGATGGCGAATTCTTCTGAACTGTTGCATTTCCTGAAATCTGATAGACACATATGTGCATTCTCATTGGATGCTCAGGATATATTAGCAGAGTGTGTTCAATTAGCTTTCAGGTATTAAATGACTGCAATGTCTCATGTTTAATTTTGGAATTATGTGAAAGTTTACTTGGATTAATTTTTGACACTTTCATTTGTTCAATAATGTACTTGAAATTAACATTTTAAATCCTTATTTAGGAACCTTGTGTCATGCCTCCAAGGAGACTTGGCTGCTGTTATGCCTAATTTTTTAACAGAAAGAGAAGATCCAAATCCTGAAGATGATAGTACTGGCTCTGTGAGTATAATGTAGAATAAAACACATTCATATTAAATAAATAAGTGTAAAGACAAATGAAGCACTC